CACGCGAATACGGGAAGGATAGGAAGAACACTGGCGCGCGTGTCGGCGGGCACAGGCGTGGGTGTTCTCGGGCGCGATTAAACTTCGTTTGATTGTTCGAATCGAAAACGCGAATTGTAGAGTAGAGTCATCGTTTTTCTAACACTCGCGTGGGTGTTCGGGCGCGATTAAAGGTCCTACCGTGGACTTCGTTTGATTTCTTCAAAATTTCGATGGGGGTATTTCGCGAATTTCGGCTTAACAGTAGAATCTACGTAATTATAACACACACGTGAGTGACGCGACGCGATTAGTATTTCTAAGGAGTGCGCTTTGATTGTTCGAAATTCGGAAAGCACAAATTCGAATGTGCTTAATAATTCGTTATGTCTGAAGCGGACGGTGCAAATGGTGGAGCTATCTGTAAGAGGTGTGTTGTAGCTAAAGCTACGCATACCCTGTTAGTTAAGAAGCCAGTGCATTGAAGCGGAAAGGTATAGCGGATCGGTATCGCGGAACGCGGATTTTAGAGTAGAGTCACCGTCAGTCCGTGGGTCTCCACATGCAGCAACTTCCACGTAGTGAGACCTGGGTCAGTATTACTTGCATGCTACAATTATAAATTCTTTAACGCAAGTATTACTGAGCGAATGGCTGCATATTTTTTACTTTTCCAATATCTTTTTAATCTAATTCCAACTGAACATTAATGTTTTTCCACTTTATATCGCTAATAGTACTTCAAAAGAAGAAATATGGCAGAATTCTATTGTACAATAATTTCTCAGAGAAACGAAAAGGAAATTTTTCTATCTCTCTTTTATGTCCGCTATCATTTCTATTTTTTTTTATTTACTCTCATTAATTATCCTTTATGTATTTCGGGTGGGACCCACGAGTGGGGCCTGTGGGCGAGGGCTTCTGTGCGGGTTGCTATCTCAGCATCATATAATACTGTTTCTCTTGTCTTATCATTTAGGGCTCTCATTTCTATTTCATATTTTTCATACTGATTTACTCTTATTAATTATGATTTATAAGTCTCGGGTGGGACCCATGGAATGGGGACATGGGTGTGGGCCTCTGTGCGGGTTGCTGTCTCAGCATCGTGTCGATCTGATTCTATTTTCTTGTCTTTCTGCAGCTCTCTTTTATTATTCATATTTTTCTTCTTTAATTATATTTTTAATTACGTCATTAATATGTTATTTCTTTTCATTATGTCTTTTCAGATTTTTATTATAATATTTCTTTTTAATTATGTCTTTTCAGAATATAATTATGTTATTTCTTCTTAATGATGTTTTTTCAATATTTATTTATGTTATTTCTTTTTAATTATGCTTTTATATTTTTAGTTATGTTATTAATATATTTTTATTAATTATGATTTACAGGTTTTAGGTAGGAATCATTAGATGTAGCGGATTGTTATTTCAGCAGCATGCAGAGCTACTTCTATTTTCTTATCTTTCAGCAGCTCTGTTTTATTACTCATATTTTTTTTCCTTAATTATGTTTTTAATTATGTTATTAATATGTTATTTCTTTTCATTATGTCTTTTCAGATATTTATTATGTTATTTCTTTTTAATTATGTTCTTATGTTTCTAGGTTTGTTATTAATATATTCTTATTAATTATGATTTACAGGTTTTAGGTAGGACCCATGAGATGAAGCGGACTGTTGTTTCAGCAGCGTGCAGAGCTACTTCTATTTTCTTATCTTTCAGCAGCTCTCTTTTATTAGTCATATTTTATTTCTTTAATAATGTTTTTAATTATGTTATTAATATGTTATTTCTTTTCATTATGTCTTTTCAGATATTTATTATGTTATTTCTTTTTAATTATGTTTTTATGTTTTTAGGTTTGTTATTAATATATTCTTATTAATTATGATTTACAGGTTTTAGGTAGGACCCATGAGATGAAGCGGACTGTTGTTTCAGCAGCGTGCAGAGCTACTTCTATTTTCTTATCTTTCTTTTATCCATCTTCTTTTTTTCTTTTTCTGGATAGATCATCAAGGCATAGGTTCATCTCTGGTCGAATGCGTCATCGCCTGGCACGATTCATCATCGATTTTTACGCGGTTACGGGAAGGATAGGAAGAACACTGGCGTGCGTGTCGGCGTGCACAAGCGTGGGTGTTCTCGGGCGCGATTAAATTTCGTTTGATAGTTCGAATCGAAAACGCGAATTTAGAGTAGAGTCACCGTTTTTCTAACACTCACGTGAATGAACGCGAGCGTGACTTAAAAGTCCTACCGGGGACTTCGTTTAAATTTGCTCGAATATTCGATTAGATTACCACGCGAACGCGTTTTTTTAGAGTAGAGTCACCGTTTTCCGAACACTCGCGTGGGTGTCCGGGCGCGATTAAAAGTCCTACCATGGACTTCGTTTTAGTGTTGAAATTCGGGGTGCGCGAACGGTTTACCTTGTAGTGCTGTACATAGCTGGCTGATGTTATGACCATCCTAATGTTTGGTAGCGGGGCGGAAATCCCGACAAATATCATGGAAAGTCTAAATACCGGTTAGCATATGTCACTTTGGATTTCAACTTAGAGTCATCGTTATTCTAACACCCGCGTGGGTGTTCGCGTGCGCGATTAAAAGTCCTACCGGGGACTTCGTTTTGTTTGCTCGAATATTCGATTAGTTTATTTAGAGTAGAGTCACCGTTTTTCGAACACTTGCGTGGGTGACCGGGCGCGATTAAAAGTCCTATCATGGACTTCGTTTTAGTGTTGAAATTCGGCGTGCGCTTCGGATTTCAACTTAGAGTCACCGTTATTCTAACACTCACGTAAGTGTTCGCGAGCGCGATTGAAAGTCCTACCGGGGACTTCGTTTTATTTCTTCGACATATCGATTAGATTACTTCGCGAATTTGGATAGAACAGTAGAATCTACGTAATTATAACACACGTGAGTGTCGCGAACGCGATTAATGCGCTTTGATTGTTCGAAATTCGGATGCACGAATTCAGATGTGCTTAATAATCCGTTATGCCTGAGGCGGAGGGTGTCGAACGGTTAAGCTTTCTGTAAGTGGAGTCCCTGTAGCTAAGGCTAGATACTTCCTGTTAGCTTTGTCCCATGCCCAAGATATCCGAAGCGGAAGGCATGAGGGATCGGTATCGCGGTACGCGGATTTTAGAGTAAAGTAGAGTCACCGTTAGCCCGTGGGTCTCCACATGCAGCAACCTCCACGTGGTGAGACCTGGGTCAGTATTACTTGCACACTCTAATCATAAATTCTTTAACGCAAGTATTACTGAGCGAATGGCTGCATATTTTTTTACTTTTCCAATATCTTTTTAATCTAATTCCAACTGAACATTAATATTTTTCCACTTTATATCGCTAATAGTACTTCAAAAGAAGAAATATGGCAGAATTCTATTGTACAATAATTTCTCAGAGAAACGAAAAGGAAATTTTTCTATCTCTCTTTTATGTCCGCTATCATTTCTATTTTTTTTTATTTACTCTCATTAATTATCCTTTATGTATTTCGGGTGGGACCCACTGGTGGGGCCTGTGGGCGAGGGCTTCTGTGCGGGCTGCTGTCTCAGCATCATATAGAACTGTTTCTCTTGTCTTCTCTTTTTGGGGCTCTTTATTCTTCTCTTTCTGGGGCTCTCTTTTCTATCTCCGGCTCTCGTTTCTATATCATATTTTTCTTTTTCAATTATGTTTTTCAATTGTGTTATTAATATGTTATTTCCTTTTAATTATGTTTTTAATTATGTGTTTAATTGTGTTTTTAATATATTTCTATTAATTATGATTTAATTACTGTAGGTAGGACTTATAGGATGATGCATGCTGCTGCTCTTTTCGTTTCTTTTTCTAAGTCTCTTATCTATTCATGTATATTTTCTATTTGTATTTTATATATGTGTATATATATCATTTTCTGTTTTATATATTTTTTTGTTCTCTTTTTTTTTCTCTTTATCTTTTTCTTTTACAGGATAGATCATCGAGGGATAGCTTCATCTGCGGAACGGATGCATCGTCGCCTGGCTGGATTCATCCTCGATTTTTACACGCGAATACGGGAAGGATAGGAAGAACACTGGCGCGCGTGTCGGCGGGCACAGGCGTGGGTGTTCTCGGGCGCGATTAAACTTCGTTTGATTGTTCGAATCGAAAACGCGAATTGTAGAGTAGAGTCATCGTTTTTCTAACACTCGCGTGGGTGTTCGGGCGCGATTAAAGGTCCTACCGTGGACTTCGTTTGATTTCTTCAAAATTTCGATGGGGGTACTTCGCGAATTTCGGCTTAACAGTAGAATCTACGTAATTATAACACACACGTGAGTGTCGCGACGCGATTAGTATTTCTAAGGAGTGCGCTTTGATTGTTCGAAATTCGGAAAGCACAAATTCGAATGTGCTTAATAATTCGTTATGTCTGAAGCGGACGGTGCAAATGGTGGAGCTATCTGTAAGAGGTGTGTAGTAGCTAAAGCTACACATACCCTGTTAGTTAAGAAGCCAGTGCATTGAAGCGGAAAGGTATAGCGGATCGGTATCGCGGAACGCGGATTTTAGAGTAGAGTCACCGTCAGTCCGTGGGTCTCCACATGCAGCAACTTCCACGTAGTGAGACCTGGGTCGGTATTACTTGCAAAGTCTAATTGTAATTCTTTTAACGCAAGTACCACCGAGCGAATGGCTGCATATCTTTGTGTTTTCAAAATTATATTTAATTTAATTTATTGTAATTGAAATTGTTGAATATGGATTTATAATAAACGAGTTATCGTGAAATTATTGCGTTTTATTTACCTTGTTAAACTAATCATGGATAGAAAAGTTATTAACTCACATGAAAATGTAGCCGCATACATTATTTATGTCATATATCATTTTATAAACACGTAATAAAAATATAAATGTAGACTAATTAAAACACGCTTATTAATACAGTAAATCTCTTATAATTATTTTTATGAGATTAAATGCTAATCATCAGGAAAATGTAAATATGTTTAAAGTATTATATAAAATGAGTAATGTAATAAATTATGAAATGATATAACACGTAATATGAAATAATACATTGACTACTCTGATAAACATTGAAGAAAATAAGGTTATAAATATTATGGCACGATTATCCACTTCTTCGTAAGAAGAAGAATAAAAGCAAAATTAAAGTTGAATGATTGATAATGAATTGAAATAATTGCATGATTATAAAATTTCATGTAGTTGTATAATATTGTGCTTTGCGAATTAAGAATATTTTATGATTACTCATAATTCTTCTCGAATTTTCAAAATATTGCTTGCTTGATTATCAAAAATGATCTTAGAATTTTCTGTATCACTTATATATCCCTGATCACCGGTATAATGAGTTGGATGTATCAAAAGGGGATTCGTTGACAACACCGTCAAATTACGTACTGGGTAATGTTTTTTCCAATCATCTCTTGTATTGAAAATAAAAGAATAAATATATAAAGTAGTTAATTTACTTACAATTTTCTGTTTACTTCTATTATATATCTTCATAGATAATATTTTATAAAAATATTTTACTAACCTTGGATGAACATTTGATAAAATAGGAATATATTCATCAACAGGTATCATATTTTCAAGTGGTTTTGCCTCAACAAGTTTTTTAGCTCCAGTGGCTGATAAAATATAACCAAGCGTCCAATAACTATATGCTGCATGCACCAAATACTTAGAACCTTGTACCCACGATTCCTGTTTTTCCATTAATCTTTTTCTTCCTATGTATCTATGTATCAATTTGTATCAAAATTTGTATCAAAAGTTACAAAATAAATATTTTATGAAAGTATAACTCTTACATTAAATCCCATGGATTTCTTAATGTATTTAATTCAGATAAAACAAAATCCAATTTCTGTCGAAAAAATGGCTCAAAACGAATGTCATCTTCCAGAATCATAATACGTTCATATCTATATTCTAACATCTGATAATTTAATTATTATCAATAATAAAAGTCAATTGATATCTACTAAATTACTATAAAATCTTGTTACATTACCTTATTCCAAATAATATAATGACTTAAAAAGCAACCAATTTCTCCAGTTGTCATAGGTCTAAAAACAATAAGAAACATATGTATCTAAAATATTTTCTATGTAAATATATTTATGCTGTTTTACTTTTCTAAATTACCTCTTATGGTATGGATCTTCATATCCTGCCATTAATTTCACACCCCATTTTTCAAGTGCACTTTCATTTAACATTCTATAACATCAGGATACAGATATTGGGAGATATTAAAATAAATTTTATTTATGATAAAATAAATAGGAATATGCAAAAATAAGAAAATATAAATTATTTTATCTCATAAAAAATATATTGTATTAAATAGAACTTACCTACCATCCACAGCATTAAAAGTTTCTACATGTGCACCAAGTTCTTTAAAGAGACGATACATTCTAGTACGCCTTTCTGGTCTTCTCAAAAGATTTATCATATAGATATTATCCAATCCTAATGTGTCTATTTTTGGAGAAGACATGAATTTTTCCATACTATTCAATAATGACAAATGATCTTCTGCTAAAATCATTTTAACATAAAAGAAAATATAACAAATATAAAGATAATAAATAATATAAAAAAAATATATTAATAATTTTGACATACACAAAATTTCTAATTTTATATTTGTTAATCTCTGTAGATCCTCTTTAATTGTTTCATCTTTTCCCAATGGTACCATGATGTATCCGTATAATTCATCATTACAAATATATAATGGAACACCTGGATATTTATGTAATTCTTGTATTATGTATTATGAATTCTTGTCTTATGTATTACTTATATAATATAAATGATTCAAATATAAGTTGACTTACCAGAATTATTAGCACCAACAGCAAAAGTTATAACATCATCCAAAGGACCATCATATTGTACTAAATTTGTAAAATTGTAAGTCAACCAATCTGATTGTACCATGTTTAAATTAATAAGAACAGCACTATGAACCATGGGAACATTAAAACATCCTACATCTTCACGATATAAAATTAGTTGGTATTTTTCAGTTCGAAGATAGTAATAGTCATCAGTCATCCCTGCCCAAAAATTACTGTATAATCCATCGGATTTTAACAAAGGGGCAACCACAACTTGTCCTTTCGATACTAAATTTGTTAAAGTATTTGGATTTGTCAAAAAGATATCAGCATCGACCATCTGTAAGTTTATGGACTATTATATTGAATTATTATGATTAAAGCACAATTCTTTTGAAATATCATATATATATATATATATATATATATATATATATATATATATATATATATATATAAAATTACCCAAATAAAATCAGCCCATATTTTTCTAGCATAATTCAATGCTTCCTCACGTAAATTGATGACATGTGTAAATCGAAGAAGCGACCAATCTGTACTACTCTCTTCATCTTCAAAACCATTTGACTTTTCATCTATATATGTGTCAACAGTATGATATTTTTCTGATACTTCTGCTAACCATGCTCTTAATATTTCATTTGTATTATCAATATTATTATCACTATAAATCCTAAAAAAGGAATAAAATTAAAAATCATATGAATATTGTATATAATTTGATTGTTCTTAAAAATTTCAATTAAACTCGTTAATAATTTTATAAATAAATATTATATCTCTTTTATAATTCATAATTCGTTTATAATATTTCTCTTGCATATAATTGAAAGTATCGAGGCTATGTCCAAAAGTAAGGTTAAATACGATTTTATCTTTGAAAAAGAAATTATTTTTCTTACCATAATTTTATTCGATTTTTAGGATAGTTTTGTTGTTCTAACAAACTTAGAAAATATGGTAATGTATGAGCTTTATTTCTAATTAGAATCGCTATCAGTACTGTCGGCTTTTTAAAACGTTCAGTACATTGAACGGACCGCGCGATATTAATTATCAAAAAAATAAAAATAAAACTTCGAAATATTGCTTTATTGAGCATTATTATCCGTGTAATTCTTAATAGATCACATAGAAAAGCGTACACAAAAAATTCTCACTATAATACCGGATGAATTAATGAATAATGATAAGTTAAAAGAGATCTTTCATTCTCTTTCTTTCTCTTGTACTCTGTCCTGTACCGTCCCTTTTGCTTACTAAGAGTAATCAGATAAAACCGCCTGTTTTGGAATATTTTCTTAATCACTCCTTTTTTCAGTTTTATTTATATTAGAAAACGATTCTAATTGATTCGAAACGAAAATTATAACATTATTTGCATTAAATGAAGTGATAAAAATATTGGAATAAAATATTTTTTTTAATAATTTTTTTTTTTCATATATACATTTATAAAGCGCTTAAATCTTTTTTGTATTTTTTTTTTTTTTTTTTTTTTAATTAATACAAAATCACTAAAAATATTGTATAAGAAAATTAATTTTTATGCCTGATTCTGGTTTTAATTGTATCTTATAATTTTAATTCTTTATCTGAATCAGACTTTGTAGTACTTTTAGTTTCAGATTTTGATTTTTTATTAGTTCCATAACTTAAACTAGTTTTATCAAAATCCAATATCATGATACCCAAATCGCCACTGTATCTATTTTTGGCTACCTATAATATAAAATAAAATAGAAAAAGCAGAATAAGTTTTATATTTCTTACAATTCTGTGTAATCAATGTAAAATTTATGCATATTTTAATATACTCTTACTTGTAAATATTTTTTTCCTTTTATACTAGTAAGTCTCTTGTCTTGTATAATAAGAACATTATCAGCTTCTTGACTTGCTTTAGCACTTCCAAAAATAGATGAAGTTGTTAGTTCTTCGTCATTGCGTTCTTTTCTCGGATGAATTACAAGTGTAACATGACAATTATATTTTGTAGCAAAGATTCTAAATGCAGAAATTATTTTGTCTTGTCTCCAAAATCTAAATACAAATAATGAAGAAGCTGAGATCATTCAATTAAATTTGGATGATAATTTGGATGATAACGATTTACCTATCTATGTGTTTGGATTCATCAGAAATTCCCATCATAAATTGCATATTGTCAATAATCACATGAGATATGTCATGCACATATGTTGCATGCTCTACTGCCTAAATACATAATAAATAAGTACTTAATTCAATTATTATGTACATAAAAGTTCGAATAATTAATTTTTATGAACTTACATCCATAACAATTTTAATACTTTGTTGCCCATGAAACGTCATAAAATAGATAGGTAACTTTTCAAAAGCATCTGCATACATATCAAAATCAATTATATTATCATAAAGGGAAACACCTGCCATTTGTTGTAACATTGTCCTTGCTAATCGTGCATTTCTAATTTCAAAACTACCCCATAATGTGTTAACTCCTTGCATTGCCAAGTCTAATGAATATTCACTCATGAATGTAGTTTTACCAGATCCTAAAAATAAATTTTGCATTTAATGCAACAAAGAAGTGTAATATAAATTATATATTTATAATTTATAGATATCACTACATTATTATTTTACCAGTTGGACCAGTTAATATTGTGAATTCCCCTCTTCTATGGCCTTTCAAAATACGATTTAGAGCTGGATACCGTTTCCATTTTACACCTTGAACCTTATCAATATTTTGTAAATCACTTAAAACGTCCTGTCTTAAATAACGAAAAGTAGTAATACTTTGATGCCATATTGGTTGAGCATTATATATAATATTTTTAATATCATATTCTAAATCAACAGCAACTTTTGGGCTAGGTTGTAGATCAGTCGATCTTACAAAGTAACATCTTTCTTCATTCAGTTTTTTGGAGAAATGTCGTGCTGCATCCCAACTTGAATCATCATTTCCAAACCATAAAGTTAATTTTTTAAAATTTTCTAGACTTGGCAATACCTGCTGAGGTAAGTATTGTAAATTGTATGGTAAACAAATGATGACGTTCACTAATTGTTGAGATATTAGTGCTAACAGATCTGGAATGGTTGGTATAACAACAGCACTAGCGTCGCTTTTTATATTTTTGTGCCCATAAATTATAAGGCCACTGACATCTGAAGTTGGAATCGTTTTTTCAGTTCCAGTATCCAAGAAAAATTGCTTAACGCCAACAAGATAATGATCAAAAGCGTACAGTGGAAAATAAAGAGCATTTTTATCTTCACTGTATAAACAGTTTAATGTAGATATATCTTCTTGCAATACATTCTGTAAATTAAATAAAAATATATAATCATTATATTAAAATATAATTCATTATGTTACTGCTATTGGATTATACCTTCAATGAAAGCATATCCAAAATTTTGTCATATTTATCTTTGGATAATTTAGAAATCTCTATACAATTTTCCTTTATAATTTTCCATTCATCTACATAATTTTTATCCATTGATAAATTCTTTTTAAGTTCTTCTAATTCCTTAATTTTTTTGTTAGTTACTTTTAATGATAATAATTTTTCTAATATATTCCATGGCCCAATACACCTGCATTTATCGCACATAAAGAACCCTGTATATAATATTTATCTCAGAAATAACATATACACATACATATATATATATACAATATAATTATTAATAATAAATTAGGAAATTTAAATGTATTTACCTGTTGTCTTATTTATATAAATTTTTCGATTTTTTGTATATTTACTAGTTTCACATATAAGACAATTTATGTTAATACAAGCATGGCCTTCTTGAAATGTTATATTATTTTCCCTTAAAATTCTTTTTATTCCTATTAAGGAAATATTAGGTAGAAGATCGTTATGATCTGTGTGGTAACAGTAACTCATGAAATGTGATTTTATACATTTCTTCTTCAAAATATATCGTGACAACAACCTAACAAGCATTGCTATTAAGAATTTAGATCCTCAAAGTATTCAGAATAAATAATTATCTCTGATCACTAAACCATTTTTAAAAAACCAATGTTCTATTGTACAGTGATTGGTATTTTTATATATATTCTAGAACTAATTCATTTTTTTATGATATCAAGTTTTTATATAAAAATAAAAGCAAAACAAAATGTTTTTTTCGCAATGGAATTTCATAGTTCATACGATAATAAAGGTATTTATATTTATTATAACCAGTATATAATCCTATAAAATTATAACCTGATCTAATTTGAAAACATTCAGCACGTGGATTAAACTGAATAATGTATATACTATGATACGTTCGTATTCAACAAAGATATATAGTTGAATACGTATAGAGGTTAAAGATGATAGTTTATGAAAAAATATGTCATACATGCAATTGCATGTTCATTTTCCAATATCGATCAAATATTAAAAAATAAAATTATTATTTTAAAAAATTCTTACTCCCGAGAATTTTAAACATTATAGACGACCTGGGAGTAAGGATATTAATAGAATACGGCAATCTTCTATTGGTTATGATTTGTTTTCAAAATTCAGTCCAAGCAACCTTTAAAAATGATATTGAATTATCTTAAGAATATAGTACCAAGTGGTCCTAAAGTCCCTAAGTGATTTTACAAATCAATGTACTTTCTTTTCGAGACTTTTTAGGTTATCTTTTTTTCTTTCAGATTGTAAAACTACAACCTTAGGAATTTTTGACCCATTCTGATTACACATGACATATATAATGCATACACAAAAATCGTAGATTTAAAGTATGGAGAATCTATATATGATGGCGACAATAACAAAAAAAAACCCACAAAAAACTAGGGATTTCCTTGTAAAACCTTTAAAGTTTCTAACATAAGTTTGGCTACCCTGCATTTACCTGCTTTTGGTTTCTGTATCACCGGAGTTCGGAAAGCAACCTCGGAGCTGCCACGGGCTACCGATGGGTTCTTTGCCGTGTTTATACGTGTATCCTGTTTTTATTTTAGCGCTTGCTTTTAAAAAATTATCTTTAGCTAATATCATTATTATCACATTTTGATCTCGACAAGTAATACTCCCCGAAAAAAAAATGTATACTGCGTTAATTTGATAGAAAAATATAATAGACATTTAACAACGCTACACCGTCAAGACGTTTGACTCCGCTGAAGGAAGGGCAAAGAAGAAAAGTGTCCCAAGTATGAATATTCTTTATGAAGTTTTTTTCAACGTCTTTCGACTCAGGTAGTTAAGCTGACTTGGGAAAAAAAATATAAAAAGGACGGGGTGTGGCTGGTTGGCCCACGTTTATGATGTTCTAGGCTAGGTTTCAAATGATAGGCCACGATAGAAAAGTTAATCAAGGTTAAGACGTTTTTCAAATTTGTGTTATTAATAATGTATTATTATTATAGAATATAATTATTCCCATATTAAAATGCCACTACAAGATTAGGAATTTGTGATCGAAATTTTGTGCATCGATCCTATTTCACTCGTATTAGATTCTTTACTTTTTCCCTTCGCCCCTTGGAGTTATCATATACTGCACACGGCGTCGACACGTTTTCTGAGACATCGATGTATTATATATCACACGAAGAACATTAAAATATTATGATTTTGATGAAATATTTTTTGTCAAGTGTTAATTCGATTGTATAATATAAGATATTTGTCAATTCTATATCAAAAATTTTGTTAAATATCCTTATTCTTATTGATAAAGCATCATTCATGAACTGCTATTACCAGTGTTTATTAAAAAACTGATAATTATAAGCTCTTTGTTATCCATTATTCCAAAAGTCTATTGTTTGATATAATAAAAGAATTATGGTCACATATGTATATGCATATACTATTTTTATTTATAAATCAAATACTCTTTTCGAAATATTAATTTTTTGTTTTTTTTTCTTATGATAAGTTTAATTTAAATAACAGTGCATGGTATAGGCATTTATATTCCACATGACTAGATCTAGGATTTATTTATATATATATTATATATATATATATATATATATATATATATATATATATATATATAGATACATAGGGGGTACCACCTAATTATATCACTTGAAATATTTCCGTTATAATACAAATTTTGAAAGAAAATGTTTCCTGATTGAACGAAAGTTATATAGTTTTATTGGGAGTATAAGTGTATAGTAAACTATATAGCAAAAATAGTTTTATTCCATTGCAAAAGATTAATGAGATAAAAAGATCATATTTGTTTCTTTAAATAGAAAAATTTTTAAGATCAATTTGGCAACCTATAATACTAAGTATTTCAAGGTTAACAAAGGTCATATAAACAAGGTTTTCTATTATATATTGGCCCTCATAAAATGATGCAACTTTTGCAGGAAACATTCTTTTGAAATTTATATTACGAGGTAAATATTTCATGTGATAAAGTTAGGTAGTATATTCTATATATACATATCTTCCTATGTAGATAATTTGGAAAATAAAAAAGTCTTAAGAAAAAAAGTTTCAGTGAACTTTTATGATTAAGGAATGTACGTTAAAAGTTGAATAAAAATGCTTATATTTTAGAAATGAAATCATCTTTGAGAGTATCAAGAGTTAAATAAATCTATGTTTCTTATGGAATTTATTCTTTTCTATATAATAATTTAATATCATATATTTTATTTCTTGAAAGGTTCTCTTTTGATTTTTCAGGTTGTTAAAAGAAAGAAAATACAGTAATGTCTGTTCCTTCCACATCATCAAAAAAGCTTAGTGAAGGAAAACCAGGAGGTACAAGTCCAAGTCCTATTGAAAGTATCGAAGTTGTTCCTGGACCTAGTTCTTTAGATCCTATGCATTGCACCTTTCCACAAGATGGTGAATCTGAAGAATATGGTGACGAAGAAGATGAAGATGATGATGAAAGTAGTGAAGAAGAGAGTGAAGTAAGCTCATCTTATTCTTTAGTCTATATGTTAAATTGTTTTACGTATCATATATATTTTATCTAATATCATAAATTAATTATAAAACAGATTAGTGATTCTGGCTTATTTCGTGATGCTGAGTGCGAAGAAGAAATTGAAGGTAGCAGTTGTTCATCGCCCGTATTACAAGCTCAGCCATGTTTACCACAGAGAGTTCATAGTCCTATATTACACACATGTGTTCCATTGGATATTGTACAACCTCATAGAAAACGAAAAAGTGAAACAGAGTCTAGTTTACCATGCAAAAAACTTAATCCAGAAGATAAATCTTATATAATGTATGTGCTATTTTAAAAAATTATAACTTAAATGTTAAATATATTAAAATTATATTTAAATGAAGTTAATAAGTATTTTTATTTTTTAACAGGAATGCAAAAAAATTGGATGATAAGGCTAAACATATTAGATGTGTCATTCCAACAAAAGATAATCCACCACCTGAAATGAATAACTGGCTTTTGCAATTTCAAGTATGCTTAAAGATACTTTTGTATTTGTTTTATTAAAAAATATTTCATTGATCATTACAAATATTATTTATCATATTGCATGTTTTATATCATATGTTAATATATTTTCAGAGGTGGTCAAATGCAGAAAGGATGTTAGCTATAGACGAATTAATAGAAAGATGTGAACCAACGCAAGTACGCCATATGATGCAGGTTATAGAACCACAATTTCAAAGGGATTTTATATCCTTACTGCCAAAAGAATTAGCCTTATCGGTATTGGCTTTCTTAGAACCCAGGGATTTATTACGTGCAGCACAAACTTGTAGAAATTGGAGATTTTTAGCAGATGATAATTTACTTTGGAAAGAGAAATGTATAGCTGCTGGTATAGATGATTTAAAAGATTTGCCTCCTTCAAAACGTAAAAATTGTAGAAATCCTGGCAACTCTTCATCACCATGGAAACAAGCTTACATGCGACAACACAATATAAAAATGAATTGGAGAACAAAGCCAATCCGTACCCCAAAAGTTCTTAAAGGTCATGATGATCATGTTATTACATGTCTTCAATTTTCTGGTAATCGAATAGTTAGTGGTTCTGACGATAATACTCTTAAAGTTTGGTCAGCTGTTACGGGTAAGGTAAATATTCCAAGTATTTTAATAAATATTTCAAGCTAATAAATATTGCTTTTGTAATACATAAGCAATTAAATTTTCCATTTTATATATATATACAATATATAATTACATGTATTTGAATATTTTTATTTCTAGTGTTTACGAACATTGGTTGGACATACAGGTGGTGTATGGTCCTCCCAAATGTCAGGTACTACTGTGATTAGTGGTAGTACAGATCGTACCTTAAAAGTATGGAATGCAGAGACTGGACAGTGTATACATACTTTGTATGGCCATACATCAACAGTGAGATGTATGCATTTATATGGAAATAAAGTGGTTAGTGGTAGTAGAGATGCCACATTAAGAGTGTGGCAAGTAGATACTGGTGAATGCCTACATGTACTTGTGGGTCATTTGGCAGCTGTCAGATGTGTGCAATATGATGGAAAATTAGTTGTCAGTGGAGCTTATGATTATATGGTAAAAGTATGGAATCCCGAACGCGAGGAGTGCCTTCATACATTGCAAGGACATACTAATCGCGTCTATTCCCTCCAAGTAAGTATTACTTATGTATTTAAATGTAATTAAGTTTATACATTATACACACGTACAATATTTCATTTCTTATCTTTTTCATGAAAAAAAAAAAAAAAAAAATATTTTTTATGCATTGAATTTTATAATTACTGATATGTTTTATTTGCTTATCAGTTCGATGGTGTACATGTTGTTAGTGGATCACTAGATACAAGTATAAGAGTATGGGAAGTAGAAACTGGTGCTTGTAGACATACTCTTATGGGCCATCAGTCTCTTACTTCAGGTATGGAATTGCGTAATAATATTTTGGTGTCTGGAAATGCAGACTCTACAGTCAAGGTATGGGATATTGTTAGTGGGCACTGCCTTCAAACACTTTCTGGTCCAAATAAGCATCAATCAGCGGTTACTTGTCTGCAGTTTAATAGTCATTTTGTGATTACTTCATCTGATGATGGTACTGTTAAACTATGGGATGTCAAAACTGGTATGTATATTGTTAGAATAATTATTGATATTATTATCTTGTTATAATAGAATTTATTATATTATAATTAAATAATTCTTTCTATTTATTAGGTGAATTTATAAGAAATCTAGTTGCTTTAGAAAGTGGTGGGAGTGGTGGAGTTGTATGGAGAATACGTGCAAGTGACACAAAATTGGTGTGTGCAGTTGGTAGCCGTAATGGTACTGAAGAAACAAAACTTCTTGTCCTCGATTTTGATGTAGAGATAAAATAGTGCACTTTCTCACAGACTGGATTCCTGCTCCTTTGTACGACTTCTGTACATACTTTAATTAGGTAGCATAACCAATTTACTGTACAATGTTTCATGTATTACATGGTGTGATTGTGATAAGACTGTATGGTGGAAATTTGAAGAAGTTGATTCAAGTCAATTTTGGACATTATGCGCGATCTTCGATTAGATGAGTTGTCTAACATTGACGGGATTAATTGCATAACTTACGGAGTGTATCAATTGCAGTGTACAAATATGAGATTTAAAAGACTCAACAGCCTCTGGGGAATGAGAGCTTTATAAGTGTAATACTGAATTATTGCTGTTATTGAATTTAACGAAATCGTTACGGATATTAAAGGAGGCATGATAATTCTTTCATCTTAATGCAAGTTTATGTGGGCTATGAAAAAGATTTCTTATAAAAAAGTAAGGTTTTATCAATATTATGGAACGGTTATTTATAGAATTTCAATTAAAATAAGTAATTATTAATTGTCCACATAAGTTACAACTTGAACGTCATTTTTTTTTAATTTTTTTCTTTTTTTTTTTTTTTTTTTTTTTTTAAAGAAATTTCTGATTAAATCTTTTTTATTATAAATGCAAATATCATGCCACATGATTTAGATATCAATCTGTATCTATTTAGAAACATGATTTTTGTTGTAAGAATGGAAATACATTGTTGTGAGACTGAAAAAGAGATACATATGGGAGGACACAAAGATTTAGATTTTGTAACTATCACTTGAATATAATCGTGTAATATCTAATATTAGTAAATCATTAGGTATAGTAAAAATTTTTTTAATACTAAAATTTTAAGATTACATCGAAATATGTATAAAAAAATTTTTTTTCTTTTTCTTTTTTTTGCTTGAAAATGCAAAAATTTGATAAGATAACTTTTATGTGTATACAAATTGATAAAGAGATAGAATTCAGTCTTAATTGGAATTCTGGAGTCATGGAGAATATGACACGAATTTGTTTCGATATATTCACGTTAAATAGGCGTATATGTGATATATAAATATTTTCATTAGGTGTAATCCCATATGTATGGCGATTAAATCTCCATCGTTTAATATATTCAAAAATTAAAATGACTTTTATATAAGTATAAAAAGATCTAAAAATGAGCGGATCATTAGGATTATTGGAAAAGGATTTATTTATTCTATGTAAGCAATCGTAACATAAATGATCGAAAAGCAAATGTAATGAAAAGGCTCGCATCGAAAGTTATAGAATGTCTTTTTTTGATAATTCATAAAAGTATTTTTTTTTTTTACCAAGGGGCAATAATAAGAGCTGCATATTATCCCCATATAGTATGTATATGCTAATTTTATAGCATCGCTTATATAATCACGATCTTTAGAGCCCCTATGAGTTGTCAAAAGTAAATTAAAAAGTTAGACTAAAAAGGCATTTATTTATTATTCCAGCTTAGGATTTACAGTAAATCGAAGTGATGTAGACAATAATGAATTATTGCACTTAATCACAACCATTATTCCTGAGATAGATAAAAGTAAGCTTGCAAAAAAATTCAAAATATTAATTTTTCCCTCTTGCAAAAAGTTTATATGCCCGTAGAAAGGGTATTATAAAGAATGCAAGAAATTATATTTTGTGTGAATGCATCTTTTATTATTGGACCCTGGTTATCCTAAGGATCGTGTTTTATTTGTATATTGCTTAATAGTTTATATTATAAGGATGTGTTATCTGTTGTATCATTTTTTACAAGAAATAGAAAATGTTGCTCCATTTTAGAAAAATCGTATTTTTATTTACAATATACTGTCATTTACAATTTGTTATATTAAAGAAAAATTTGTTTAACAGCAAAATAAAATCTGTACATTTTGTTTCCTATATAAATAGATAATATTTTTTTAATGTTGGAAATGTAGCAACAACTAAGAAATTAAATGGAAATAACTATATACTATATGTGTATATAGATATTTATATTTGAGCACAGTATGTTTCAATTTTCTACGATGTGCTGTTAGATTTATTTTTATAATAATAACGATAGGAGTAAAAAAAAATATGTGAAAATTCAAAAAATCATTTGTTATTTTTGGCAATAATGTGAAGTTTGAAAATTATTAATGACCCACGAAATATATGATAGATAATAAAAGTTGAAATTTTAATTCAAATAATTTACAGGTAAGATTTTGCTTTTCCGTTAACTTCTTTACTGTTTCATTACCGTTTCAATACTCCACAATTTCATTAATGTTTCAATATTACAATGACAACTGTACATGGTAAAATATATAACTTACAAGAATATTTGTCTTTCTAAAAACTGTTTAAAATATCATGTTTTAACAATGATAATAAAAGTACATTCTTCACAAGTCACATAAATTGAAGAATTTTTTTCTTCGAGCATCTCTTTGTCTATTTTGTAATAATTGCCACATCTGCATGGAAAACTTAATACATCCTTTTTATTTGTTTCTTGTAATTCATGTAAATGTACAGTTGCATGAACAATAATGTTATTAGATTCTAATTCTGCTTGTTTACATTCAGTATCATATTTCTTTCTTAAGTCGGGATCTTTTAAGATAGACCAAGCTTCGGCAAGAAGTTGAAATTCTTTAGTATTTTCTTTTGTTCCAATGGTTTTATCCGGATGAAGTTGACGTGCTCGATGATAATATGCATGCCTTATTTCCTCATATGATGATTCCATAGAACAACCAAGTGTATTATAATAATCATATATATCCATTATTTCCTTCTTCGTCTGGTTATTTACGTATTAAACTATTTAACGATTTCAGTATTAATATAATTAGAGTTTAGGAAATATTTTATAGGTTATATAGTTTACATCATTCTATCAACTATTTCACATGTGGTCATAACGCGACTGCGCATACGATGAGATATTCTATTCTACGAGTCAATGTCTATATGTATAAAACATTGCATAATTTCAGGCGTCTTAACAACAGACCTACGCTCCATCTACCGACTACGAGTATTAACTAATTTTTCATATAAACGATTACGTATTGTCTCAAATTAATTATTCTGATTGTTTAAACTTATATGTATTGTTTCGAAAAATGTTTAAAATTAACAAAGTGATAAAAAGGATTTCAAAAGGGACATAAGGAAATACAGAATTTGCCTCTTTATTGATAAATTATCATTTAAATAAACGCTAAATAATAGTAGTAGTACTATATAAATATATATATATATATATAAATTGTTAATCATATACAATATATATATATACTTATTCTTCTTTTATGTTTACCATATATATATATATATATCGGGTGAGTCACCTATAATATATATATTATAATTTATACGTTAATAAAAAATATATTAACTTCATCTACTTAATTGATTTTAATATTATACGCGCGTTGCTTTTAAAATTTAATTACATCGACGTAACTTAAATTTATTCTGTGCACTTTTGTTCTGTTTGGCATGATAATTTATAATGATATTAATTAATTGGATAAAATAAATGAGAAATAAACGAGAAGATTAATTCGAATATAATATATAACCGAAATTACATATGCGTTATCGGTATATGAATTTTAGCAAAGTTATATTATCCCGGATTAATTATCTCCACATAAGAGATTTTCATTCTAACAAAATAACACCATTATGTTTCTTGATATGTATTAAACGATTGTATGTATATGAAAGCGATCTTATCACGGAATAATAAACTGCCTTGTTATTGGTCTATATGATATTGCGAAGTTATATCAAAATTTTTGCAATAAAAGATATCAAAAAATGGAAAATATTAAATTAGCAAACTATGTTAGATACAATGAATGTTTTCAGAGCGATTGAGTATCTGAAATATTCAAAAAGAAATGTGGATTAAAGAAAAGAAACGCATTGATCAGCAAAATTGAAAGCCAAAAGTGGCGGCGATCAGTTGTGGTTCTTTGGTAGCTGAATTTTAATTACACAATTTTTATAAACAATACGAGGGATATTTGCATAACGTGAATTATTCGACTTTTTTTTTTTTTTTTTTTTTTTTTTTTTTTTTTTTTTTTTTTTTTTATGATAACATAATAACGTGAAGAAGATTTTTTATTTTTTTATGTCATTAATACACCTGTGAATCTCTACGAAACCACGCGATTTCTAAATACTATGTTTAGTTATAGAATATGATTTGTTAAATTGTATTCTTTTGTTGTTGTTAAAGGAAAAAAAGCGAAAAAAAAGAAACAAAGAAAAGAAATTTGAACGAGTCAATTATTACAACTAGGAAAGATTATTCGTAAGCGTGTGCTTCCCTGCGTGTTTCTATATCGTCTCTAACGCTTTCTTGAAATCTCACTTTCTATCACGTTTCTATGGTAAAGGTTACGCAAAGTGTAGATTTTCCAAAGTACTATATATGAATAAAAATAATTAAATAATGAAAGAAAGGAGAAAGAAAGGAAAGTTTTATAAGTTGAGAAGATTTTTCATGCGTTATTATCAACCATTCGATCGTTTATTCGAATCAAATGGAATTTAATGTAAAGCGTAACGAGGGTGAGATCTCGTTGCATTGTATAAACGTTATCTCATATTAATATCTATCTCTGGGTGGGATCGTGGTTTATCTATTGCAAAAGATTACAAGAGCGTTCTCACAAGAAAGATTTCGTCATTTGAGGAGCCTCACCCTCGCGCGTCCGCCTGCCTGCACACGCTTTGGCATCATTTAGAAGATGAAACGAGGCGAGGCAAGGCGATGTCTTCTTTTTCGTTTTAAAGTACCTATCACAAGAAAGAGAGATAGATAGATAGATAGAGAGAGAGAGAGAGAGAGAGAGAGAGAAAAAAAAAGAGAGAGAAGAAAAGTGGAACGCGAATCGTTGTGCGTATCGAAAGGCAAACACAATTGTGAGAAATGCTTTTAAACGAGAAAGTGAAAGATAGAACAACCTTCTTTGCAATATTTCCTTTTTTAAATAAAAGATTTTAACGTCTTGTAACATTTTGATTGATTTTATAGTTGTATAAAATATTATATATACATATGTATATATATATATTCTAATTATTTTCAATGAATATTTATTCCGTATTAATTAATCTCGATTTTTTTTTTTTTTTTGATAGAAACTAATTTTTTAATCATTCATTTAAATAATAATTGTCGATGGAATTACAAAATGAAGATTCGAAAGAAAGAATATTTCAATAGTTAATCATTAATCGTCAATTTGTATTCTAATAGATATCTTTGATCATCTCTTTTGACGTTAATCAACATACATTGAATGAGATTACGAATCATTCATTGATATATCTAATGCCTATTGAAATTCAAAGGTACTTGTATGCTTTTGAACACACAATTGATATTGTCGAAGATCAGAATCGTTCCCATAAAAATTTGAATAACGTAAATCGCGAATACGTTGACACAGATATGCATTAAGAAATTACAACTAAAAGTAAGATGATTATAAAGGCGAACATGTTTTTCTGCTTGGGTCATAGTAACAAAGTAACCCGGGTACTTGCCACGCCAGTTTATCTTTCTTCCTTTTCTCTCACACGTTCAATGTGCAAGAAGAATGTTCTTGACTACTGACAATAAGTTCTACTCACGATTCTCTCTCTCTCTCTCTCTCTCTCTCTCTCTCTTTATCTCTCTATCTTTCTTCCCTTTTTTCCCTCTGTCGTTAGACGATCGCGTAACGTTGCCGTTTCTCTCTAATCTCGAACCTCTAGTCAAAGTTTACGCGTGAAACGAGGTCGTGCGTTCGTTGTAACCATTCGTGTCTCTTCGTTTTTAAACTTTTTTTAACTTTCGTTTGATCTTTTCTTCATTTTGATATTGTCATATCATATAAAAATGTAATTTCGTAGAGATTTCAGGTTTCCGTTAATGCCATTTTACAACTGCTCCTTGTTACTATGTATTTTTTCTTTTCTTTTCCTTTTTCTCTCTTTTTTTTTTTTTATTTATTTATTTTACTCGTTTTTTTTCCTTTTTTTCCCTTCGACAATTATAAAAACAGAGATTAAAATATTAAGAGAAAAAGCGTCGCGACTCTTGCTATGTCGTTAGTCTCGAGACAAACGAAAAATGCTGATTCCTAGTGAGATAGTTTATTTATTGCTCATATCGCAAATTTCAATTGGTTGATAGGGAGATTATATTTTTTTTTTTTTTTTTTTGGAATGTCAACGTTCAAACACATATTGTTCTCGCAAATCTCTACTAACCTGATCTAGCATAGATCTTACGACATAGCATTTATGCATAGAGAATTAAATTGATATGATACATTATATTGATATTAAATTGATATGATACATTATATTCAAAAGATAAAAAGAAGAAGTCGAATATTCGCACGATTTGGATTGAAATTTTTGTTCTTTCCTTTTTTTCTTCTTTTTCTTTTTCTTTTATTTTTTTTTGTCTTTTTTTCTTTTTTTGTCCATTCTATATATTCCCCTCCGTTATCTATATTTTTGTTTCATATGTAAAATCGATGATTGTAGCTCAAACGAAATCTCCTTCGTTAATAGGTACATATATATGTATGCATGTATATACATCGTATATAGGTCAAGATATTTGTTTCCATTGGCATTAAAACCCATCCTCAATTAATTCTTTAATGCTTGAAAAAAGTACCATAAGAGATCATCCGAGCTTCGAAACGTCGTTGACGGTCGAATAATCGACCAAGAATATATATATATATATATGTATATATATATATATATATATATATATACACGTTCGAACGCATGGATTTTAGGATGAATCGAAAAAAGATGAATGAACAAATGGATTAACTAATGTATGAATGGATATATGTATGTATGTATGTATGTATGGATGGATGGATGGATGGATGGATGAATGAATGGATGGATGGACGTAAAATTACTTAAGAAGATGAAGAAGGAGAAAAGGTAATAATAACGATGGTAGAAAGTAGGAAATTGTACCGACGCCAGCAGTAATATCCGGTAGTATTGGTATCGAACCATCTTCGAAATATTGATAACTCTTGGACATTGCACGTGTTTTTATAACACGATAATTGGGCACGTCTATGTCTACGCGATTGTTGATAAAGTTTTGAAACGAATTGGTAACGCAATAAAAGTTACCGTCCTCGTCAAAAGCAAACGTATCGGGCCATTGCATGTGAATGTGATCCCTTGATATGATCCTTTGACCGGTTGTAAAAGAATTCGATTGTTTGGTATCCCAGGTAGAGACGGCGTCATCGGCGAGAAGACCGAAATAAAGTACACCGGTGGCGGACATTGCCATACCATCGGTTTGGGAGTTCTTTCGGCCAAGTTCTTTGACAAATCGATCTATGTTCTTCGTATTATTTTTTAAAACGGAAGTAGGTAAGGAATAAAGATGAAAGGAGGATATGGGAGAATAATAGACCTGTCTATCCTTGCTGCTTGCCGGTGAAAGTGCGATCCCATCAACGTGAATCGGTAATATTACGTGAGTTTTTGCAACCATGAATCCTACGGCCTCGGCTTTAGCCTTCATCGATTCGTGTCTGATCTTCCAAGATGTATTATTCATTAAAGAATAAACAATAATACCAGGATCGATGTTACCATTATCGGTTATATAAGCCATACCGCCATCCTCATGATCTAAAACTATATCGTTGAGGTAGGCCGTGTTACGAGGGGCAACATCTTCTGGGAACTCGTAACTACGAAGTATTTCACCCTTTTTCTCAAGGTCGAGGATAACCAAGCGAGGCTTACACTCGGACTTAACGTCCACGGTCAAGGCAGCGGGCCTTCCAGTGTCGAGTACCCACATTCGGCCTTTCGGATCAATCTCCATACTATGAACCAATTGAAAGGCATTACAATCCCCGACCTTTTGCATATTCCAATTAGGAAAAGCTTCCAACTTCGGTGCCGTATTTCTTTCGATCGGTGTCGCCGACGTAACACCCAATGTTACGGGCACACCGTCCTTCCACCTTGGTATCGTTAAATACATTTTATTTTTCCAAAACTTAATACCTGCTATCAAATTGTTCGCTGGTATATAGTCGCCCTTTCGAATGGCTAATTGACGCATGTCTTCCGATGGCCAAACCACATCTATCGTGTTCCATTGGAATATCACTTGGAAGGGATCGTGACACCATCCTACCTTTGTTATCGTTGCCACAGTCGTCAGAATCAAAAATAACAAAGTCAAACCCTTCATTCTGGTTAAGAATTTTTATATTTTTCCTTGAGAGTGTGTAAACTCGTAGTCTCTCTTTCTTTCTCTCTCTCTCTCTCTCTCTCTCTCTCTCTCTCTCTCTCTCTCTTTTTATTTCTTTCTTTACACTCCTATTTTCTTCGTTTCTTCTTCCTCTTCTTCAAAAGATGTCTATTTCCGTAATGCTACTTTGAGAGAGGCGAGAGGTAGTACTATACTACTATAATATTACCAAATTACTGCTAGCTACCGGTGTGCTATTTATTCCTGGGCTATTTTCCACCTCTCTCTCTCTCTATCTCTCTCTTACTCTCTCTCTTTCTCTCTTTTTCTCTCTCTGTTTCTCTCTTTATATTTTTCTCTCTTTATTTTTCTCTCTATATTTTTCTCTCTTTATTGTCTCTTTATTCGTTTTGGAAAATGAACTCGCATGAGCGTGTTCGTGATCACGGTGCGAAGCGAAAGAAAAATTTAAGTATAGCAAAGAGAAGCAAGAAAGAAGAGAAAAAGAAAACGTTAGAACGTTGCGCGCGCGGACACGTTCGCAATTTGACTGACGATGAAAACGAAGAGAAGAGTCAGTCGAAGCTGCGCTAGTCTCTCTCTCTCTCTCTATCTTTCTCTCTTTCTCTCTCTCTCTCTCTCTGTTTCTCTTTCTTTCACTCCCTCTCTCGCTCTCTCTCTTTCACTGTGTCTACCGATGCACCCCACTCCAGAGGGACGCGCACGAACGATCAAACGCCGTGAGAAGAAACCAAGGCTATGTGTCAGCTACTACATCTACGTACACATAGTATTCATCTATTTACCCCTTCCAAACTTAACACTCAACCCTTGCGTTCGGTCTCCTAACCGCGTTTCTTACTTGTATTAAATTTAACGGTTACGTGATACGTGCGTCATTTTAGGAGATTTGTTATAAGAACAAGAAAAAAAAAAGAAAAGAAAGAAAGAAAGAAAGAAAGAAAAAAGTTTTATGGTCTTAACAAATCTATCAGATATTTTACCCTCGATATATATATATATATATATATATATATATATATATATTTAACAATATTTTTACCAATATTAAATGAATTTTCAATTCACAATACATGAGATTTGTAATTATTTAGATATTCGTTATTTAAGTATACGCGAGGATTTTTTTCTCTTTTTCGATTTGATTAAAACTTTTCGATTTATCATGATAAGTTGAGATATTTAAGCGCAATAAGAAATATAGTTATATATAATGTATATTTATATTCTATCGTGGGCCTATTGAATTGTATACGAGTATTCGTGAGTGACGAAATATTGGATTCACCACGACCTCGAGAAATCCTTTAAAAGAATCGTGTAAACGCGGCTATCTCTTTTTGGTAGAGGAAAAAGACAGAGAAAGAGACATTGAGAGAAATAGGAGTGTCTTTGGAACGAGACCATGATTTAAGACCATAGTATTTTTCTTTTTTCGCAAGAACTTTTGCCTTTGAATGTTCCGAACGATTTAATCAAGATGACGACTTGTTCATCTCTCTATCTCTCTCTCTCTCTTTTTTTTTTATTGTAGCATGTGTGTATCTGTGTGTGTGTAAGTGTGCGACCGTATTTTTTTATACGCACCGTTGAACATCAGATCAAAAGAATCTAGTTAAAATCGAAATAGTATATGAAAAAGACAAAAAGAGAGAAATAGAAAGAGAGAGAGAGAGAGAGAGAGAAAGAGAGAAAATACAAGGAGTAAATATTTTTGAAAAAGAAGATAGATAAAAGAGAAGATAATCTGATATAAAACTATCATTTTTAATCTTAAACAGTATAAATCCTTAACTGCAATCTCCGTTTCTAGTTAGTCAAACTAAGCTCTAATTTTAAAAGGACAAGATGGATATTTTTAAATGTTGCATCAATTTGACGGACTAGACGTTAATATATGTAACTTCGTACGTATGGCGGCTTCTCTATGCGCAGAAATTTGCACATGCTTATATTACGCAATGAATTACGCTGAAGAATGTAATTTTTTTAGTTTTTTTTTTTTTAGTTTCGCATGATGAAAATTGACTTATCCGAAATCGTGTCTTTGTACGAAAACAATTATTGTCATATCTCTATTTAGTACATATATATATATATATATACACACTTATCTACACATTTTTAAATGTTTTTCTTTCTAATATTTAACAAAAGATAGAATAAAATATACGCGGGAATATTTCGAAAGTAAAGAGAGAAAGAGGAAGAAAAAGAGGGAGAAAGAAAGAGACAAAGAAAGAGTGACAATAAGAAAGTAGAAATTAATGTACATATGTATGGTTGTGAGGTCAAAGATGACACTTGACATCCTCGTCGCAATTCTTACTATGTAATTCATCAAACATCCGAATGACGAATGACTCATTATCTTACCGTGATTGTTTTCTCGTTAGTAATGTAAAGAATGAATGAGTCAGGAGTACAACTGAACGTATATGATTCCAATGTGATTTGCATTTTATACGATATAATTATATAAGAGAATTTTATAAACATTTATTAACATTGAATAACCCTATTTCATTATTTATTACGAATATGAGAAAACAAGGTCATGAAAAACGCTTTTCCTTACGTTTCACGCATACGATATTATCGTAAAGCTTATATAGAATATGCGATCGTAGAAATAAACGATCGATCTCATTAATAAGATTACATCACCTTGGAAAGGAGAATACCTTTTTCGTTTCACGGATTTATCCTATGAGATAGGTTTTCAGTATTAGATTTTTTTTCCCTTTTTTTTTTTTCTTTCTACTAACCATGCATCATGGAGGATTTTCCTTGACATAGTATTCTTTATAACGTCATACTTGTTCAATAATAGACGTATACATTTACGCACAATAATAGACATTTTCTGTTTACTTTTGTCTATGTTTTCAATGTCTTTGAAATTTTTAAAAAGTAAAAAGAAATGAAGAAAGAAAAAATATATTAAGACATGCGTTAAATTCCTTTTACTTTTTTCGATGGTAAAGCAGATCGAAAAATTGTGTATTAAATTAATATTTGAAAAATAAAAACGACTAAGAATGTTTTAATGTTTTTCCGTTTATTTTACATTTCTTTCTCTCTCTCTCTCTCTCTCTCTCTATCTCTCTATTGGAATATCGTGTCATATATGAAGAGTTTCAAATTGAATTGACTCTCGCGTGCCTTTATTACTGTTAGAACATTATATTACTTGTCACATGCTCATGAATCAACCGTCATGCAAATAACTCTATTGTTATACCGTTTTCGTCAACAAATTTTTTTTTTTTTGATGTTAATAGTTATCGTGTCTGAAAAATATTTATCAGAAAAGAATTTGTCATACTTATATATATGTATGACATACTTATATATATATATATATATATATATATATATATATATATATATATACTTATATATATATATATAATATCAAGGAAATTTTATATTTATCATAAATTTCGATTAATAGCTAAATCAACCAAGGTCAAATATATACATGAATGAGAGAAATAATATATGTTTTTTAATGTTAAAATTTTTTATTGCTTCGATAGCGTGAGCGGTTAAAAGCAAGTTGCGAATTAGGGACACAGTCCTTGTATACTCTCTAATTAACTAATGAGAACTCGGAGAGTATGAGCGGGGGAAGAGTGTTAACTAACGACAATTCAACATTCTTTCACGTCTATCAAAAGGATTTTAACCGCTAAAAATGGTACGATAGATTGGTTACAACTGTACTATAAGTACACGTAACTGCGATATATTCGCGGTATAAATATCAATGAGGACCACTTATTAGCATGTTCTGCTAATTTTCTTAGATGTTTCGCACACCGTTTGCTTTTCTTGTTTGTATTGCGCGTACCTGTCTATACATCAAAGAAGAGTTTCAAATTTGTTTGCTCATTTCAAGGTTGTTAGAAATATACACATTAGATTCTTGATAATACGACCTAATTTGTTTAATGAAATCTTTCTGACAATTAAAAATGATAATATTATAACATAAGAAATAATCATTTATACATGTGAATTTTTTTATTTATATTTTTACAATTAATTCACGTGTACCTTTTAATATTGTCGCATTAATAAGATTAACTATTTTTCACGTAATAAAATTGTCCCTAAAACAATGAATATTTTTAAATAGATATCATTCGATCAATATTCTTTTTTATCTTGATTTTTTTTTCCCCCCAATTAAATTTCAATCCTACTTTCCTTTTACTTTCACTTTCTCACATATGTATAATTCATTGATTTATTATAATTAAAAAATGGTGACACCAATATTTGGTATTGAAATATTTCAAATTTCGACCTTGCAATTTGTATTAAGATATAAATATTAAAAACTTCGTCATCGTATAAAATTGATTCGTTGTAACAAGCAAAAAGAAAAGATATTAATATAATATATTAATAAACAATTTGTAAATGGCTTTTTTCTTTTGCCTTTACACTAATCTTTCACCAAGTGTTTTGAATATAAACCATTTGGATTCCTAATGTATATATGATAAATTCATTTTTATCGAATATCATATCTCTGGTATTTAAATAATACAACATTGAAACGAAATCAAACAAGTGTCGTAACTCGGTAACGACAAACACGATTAGCACAAGTATGTAGCAAGTGTTTAGAACGGAATAGATAAAGGAGTGTGTATATATGTATATCTACGTACATACATACATATGTTATATATTTTACTGCTAAAAATATACATACATATAAGTATTTCATTAAGAGAGATTAAAAGTTTCGAATCACGACGAAAATTATGTTAAAATTAGATATAACGTGCATTGTATTTTTTTGTTTCTTGTTTTATGCAATTACACTATCATATGTGTATATCGAAATAGTGTTCTTAAAATACCGTAATATAAGGGCGGATGCGATTACGTCAGTGGTATTTATTTGTGAGTCTGAAATGTAACTACGTGAATTACGAATATATGTACGTATATATATATATGTGTGTGTGTGTGTGTATGATGACAGTCCGTGACAACTTCGATATCACGTCGTTGACGAGAAACAGTCCGGATGCGTCTATTGCGGTATTCTCGCCTGGATTGACGATGAGTCATTTCTCTTTTGATTTCTTCTCTCTCCCTCTCTCACTCTCACCCTCTCTCTTTCTCTCCCTGTTCGCTTTTTACCTCCCTTTCGATACTTCACATTGTCGACATTTCACCCGCTAAATTGCTGTCATTCGTTTCATAGCTCATGACCAAGATCTTTCACTCTTTTTATCGTTCAATAAAACTTGATAATAATGAAGTCTTACATAAACTAATTGCGAAAATTAATGTTTTATCTATATTTATACTCAATCGTACGAGTAATTTTTTTCTTATTTTTCTTGATCTTTCAATGTCTACACGCATACACACACACACACACACACACATATATTATGTTGTGGATTATGAAAAATTTCAATATTGATAATAGACGGAATATTCATTAATTTTCTCTATAGAAACGTATATTTCTTTTCCTTCTTTTTGTTTTCTTCAAAAAACTTTTTTTTGTTCATTATTT